CTTCGGCGTCGGTGAGCTCATCGGGAACCTTGAAGACGAAGGCCTCGCGCTGGACGGAGTGGGAAGCAAAGCTGCCCTGGTCGAGGTTGGCCATGCCGTACATCTGGCGCTCGCTGCAGTAGGTCTCCTGGCCTGTGAGGCACTTGTCGCAGCGGCCGCAGGAGTTGTGCTCGTATCCCCTGCAGAAGTCAGTATATGTCTCACATGCACTTCGTGCAGTCAAAACTTACCATCCGACGCGGTCGCCCTTCTTCAGGTCCTGCACGTTGGGTCCAAGCTCTTCTACGACACCGACACCCTCGTGGCCGAGGGCCATGTCGGCGCCCTTGTAGTGCTCATCGGTTCCGCAGAGACCGGAGGCGGTGACTTTGATGAGGACCTGGTCGTTCTCAAGATCGGGCTTGGTGGTTTGCGACTTGACAATCTTGCTCTCCTTGGAGCCCTTGTAGACGGTGAAAGAAGGCATCTTGGTGATGTGTTGTAATGTGCTATACGTTGAAAGGTGATGTAATGGAAAAACTTTTGGGTATCTTGTTGTAAAAGAGATGAAAGTTGATGTGAAGTTGATTGATATGTTCACAAAGACTACGGCGACTTACTGTTATATATGATTAGAGCCAACCTACAGCTCATTCTTACATGTGCCATGAATGTCGCTGGAGCTACGTTCGAAAACTTCTCCCCCATGACGTCGCGTATTGATAATGCACAGGGTCTTTGGGTCCAGGGTCTGGATATCGCCGTGCCTTACACATTGGGTGCGTCGACCGCCACTAGAAAACGTGGTTTTGTGGGTCGCATCTCCAGCATGACAATTTCGAGATCTGCCGATTCCGGTATAGTCGTTTCCTCATGCTGCATCTTCGCGGTGTTGTCAGCTGTGGTGCAGCTGATTAATGTAGGCTATATCGTCGCGATTACGCGTTGTCGGCACAGCATGCAGCCTATACCTGCACATTGTAAAAGAAATATTGGGCTGCGAAATCCAGAGGACGCCTCGGACAGCATCGGCCAATCATCCCACCGCTGTTGCAGGACTGCCGAAATGTCCGCAATAGTGAGACGTGCGTCTGGAACGTGTCGGAATGATATGGATTTCCATGTGCCAGGCGCCGCTTGTGTGGAGCAAAAGACGTTGTTCCTGACCCCAATGCGGATGCGGCTCTGCTCAAGGAGTCCATGACGTAGGTGGTGCCGGGGCGCCCGTCCGATGATTGCGCTACATCACCGAACTGTTCGGCCCTTTCAATTCCTGATCCTCAGAGGCGGGCGCGAGTCTTGTCCGATTGTAACGCGCATTACTGATCTTTCGTTTGGCGGCTACTTGTTGCCGAGTCCATGGGGATGGAAGTGTGGCGTTTGTTGAGGCCCAGGTGCAGCGGCCTGGAGTTACGCCTTTGGGGCAATGGGGACGATGCCACGAGATGCTTACCCAACCCCGAAACTTTCGGATCGCAAGTCGGAGTGGTGATAAGAGATGAACTGCGATACAGATTCTTGGCATTGATGCTGCGTTCCATGCAGTCTGAGCGTAAGAAGTCACCTCGCGGCAAATCCCCAGCTGCAGACTCGAATAAGAGGGTGTGGAAAGCGTCAGCTCTCGCAGCTGCAAAATCAAACTCGATCTCCAGCATACTCACCTACGGTCATTCAGAACTAGCCTGCGTTCTCGGAGCCGCTTGAATGGTAGCAAACAAGTTGTTGGTAGGGTTTAAGCTATGTGAGCGGTCAGAATTTAATAAAGGCACGAGAAAGTACCGTGATGGATGCGAAGGGAGAAGGTAGTTCCGTGCGTCATCACCGACATGGACGCAAACCTTTGCAACTCATTCAGCAACGCTGAAACGGAAGGTCTGGTGTTTTGGCAACCTCTGAACGTTGCGTAACTGAATCAGATCAGTATGCTTTGGTAGACGGACCAACGTAGTCGCCCAACAGACATCCTACTGAACCGGAGATCGTTCCGTTGTCAGGGCATCCGCAAGATTGTCTTGATGTTATGATAATATCCATCAACGAAGTTCTCACCACTCTGTGAGTCCTTTATTATCACGCGTAAGACTCGAAAGATCTGAAGGTCCCGAGGTCGTCCACGAAAAGCCCAGGAGTTTGAGTGTCTGGTATCATTACGTGTTGAACTAACGACAACCCAGGCTCGTTCTATCCGACTAACATACCAACAAACAATAGCTATCAACGACGCCAAAAGCCTTCAAAACGTTCTTCCAACCTCTAAACTCTCCCCAAGAACCACACCTCGTCTCTCTAACAAACAATCTTATACCCCCTCTTAAACACCGGCACAGGATCACACGTCGGCGGCTCACTAAGCACATACGGCGCACCGGCCCCTTCCGAACAATCCACCGAGTCGAAGAGTTGCACTACACACCTCATCAGCCACCATAGTCATCATGCTGGGACAAAAGTTTACTTACATTCGCAGCCCCGAAGAGCGATGCGCAGTACTTGCAGACTTGCCTGGTTGGGCTCAAGCGGATAACACTCATCAGACACGATGTTGTCGTGCGGAAAGGAGAGACAGGGGTTGTTGGCAGCGCATTCAGTGCACGACCATGATGTGAAGGAGCCGGCGTTGGGGATGGGGTTGGGGACGGGGTTGCGGCGGGTGGGCGTAAGGGGGGAGGCGAGGGTTGTCGCTGCGAGTGCGAAGGCGATGGTGAGGAAATGCATGATTGAAGATGTGGATGTGTTCAGGATGATCGCGATGATTGTGTTGAAAGTGATGAACTGTAGAGGTGTAATCTGGAGTGGCTTTATATGTGCTTTCTCGCAATCGATATGGGAGCAGCGAGACAACAGACAGCCAGCTTCGACCATCGACGTCTTGGTACCTCAAGGTCATATCCATGTGACTGAAGTATACGACCAATGTCTTCTCCATATTCCCTGACGACGTTCTCTCACCTAATCCTTGGGTTGTAGTAGAAGGAACTTGGCAGAGACATTCTTTTCATATATTGCTCGGTCAAATTTCCTCATAGTAAGCACTTGCTTCATATGGAAGTAGCACATCATACAAATGAAATTCTCCGATCATTTGTCCTACCTGCTCACATCACATAACGCCTTAGCGATGGTCACGTTTGACTCGAAGATGGCGATAGTAGCGATCTGATATATTTCAATATAGCTTAGCTCGCACCGTGTGTTGAACACGGCGAACGAACTAGACTGGCTCTAATAAGTCAGATCGAAAAGATATTGTAATGACTGTCGTCTGAGTACATCTTCTCAGCTAGGCAGTGCGCTGTTGCCAGCTCCTCTCCATCTAATCACCAAGTCGTCACTCGGTCTCCATCATAAGCGTAACCGGAATGACACGCTTAAGAGCAGATAGCCTGGTAAGAAAACTTCTGCGACACATTGATGCAGTCGCTGGGAGCAGTGGTGAAGGTGTCGGTTGGTGTACCAGAGCAATCGTTGGAGGTGTAGAACTCGACTATTCCCATTAGATACCGATCATTCACAATAAACGTTGTCGCGACTCACGGCGGCAGTTGGCACGAGTCTTCTCCAAGAAGAAGACGCGGGCGCTCTGCAAGGGCAGGAATACACATTCGTTGCTGTGGATGTTCTGCTGCTGCAGGGCCTGGGGTGCGCAGTCGGAGTTGGCGTAGGCCTCGACTGAGGGGTGAACGTTAGTGGGAACAGTAGTCTGCGTAGATGGGGAAGGGACGTACAAGAGGCAACGTTCTCAAGCGAGATCTGAGCGACGGCAACTGAGGCCATGATGGCGGCGACGATGGTGGAGGTGAACTGCATCTTGACGATTTGGCCTTTGGTGGTTTAAAAAGATATTGAATGTAGTGATGCTGTAGAAGATGCTGTCGTGGTTGTCCTTCCAAACACATCCTTCCTTGGAGGTTTTATACCTCAATTCCTCAGTGCTTTCGGTTTCGCCCGTCATCTCCTCTCGCTCGAGGCGTTTGTTGGAGCTCATCGTGGCTTGTTGCGGTGAACAGAATACGAATGTGATTCATCATCATGTCTGATGGGCTTGCCATGCAAGTGATCGGACACGGGCAGACATATGCCTCCTCGCCGGACAGCTTGCAAAAGAGGGGACATTGTTGGCAGTATGAGGAAGTTTGCTCGTACACCTGACGCCGTGGCTTCAGTTTGGTAAGCACAACGCTGACCAGTGTGATCGCTGAGTATGGCGACGTGGAGTCTGCTGGCCGAGAACCTTTCTATGGCCTAAGTCAATAGGAGCGACTCGTGTCGATGTGACTGATGGTCAGTGGCTTGCGGGCCGCTGCTGCAAGAAGTCGGTCCGCGGGAAGTCATTCTCTTGAGAGGATGCGTCAGTTCTAGGTGGCTGAGCGGCGTCATGTGTGAGACATGAGCTCAGCATTGAGTGAACTCCCTATATATCTCATCTCAGTATTGAGCGAACAGGTGCGCGCAAAATTTATTCGTCATCTTCTCCCTTCTTTTGAAGAACTTTTAGATGGCGGCCTCGTGTACAGTCTACAATAGCTCGTGCGCGTGGCGAGAACTCTCAAGGTGCCAAGGTGGGTAGTCAACCACGTGATGTGTGATGTCTTCGGAAACGTTAAGCGCGTGTGTGAATTGATGCAATGCAGCCGGTAAGAAAATTTGCACGGATATCATGTGTTGGTGCAGAGAGGCCACCAAATGTGCACCAATGGGACTGAAGGACCCGGCTGACAGGCCTGGCCAAAAGGCTTATGCAAACGACGGTTGGATTCGTATCCTGAAGCGAGAGAGCATAAGCAAAGGTGCGTGCTCGATCTCAGCATGACCCTAGTCTTGAGGCCTCAAGAACTCAGATCTACATTCGGAAAGTCTCTGAAGAGCACAAATCCCCTCCTACGCCTTGGCAGTCCCGCGCTGTATCCCAATCATCTCTTTCGTAACTTTTCCTGGTACGTGTGTATCATCATCGTCTAAATAAAGAAAGACCATCCGTGTTGCCGTAGCAAAGCGACCATTGACAACTATTGAGTAGCTGCTCAGTTGTAATCGTGCATGTTGTGTAAGCTGATGTCCTGGCTGCTGGTAACGCGTCGCTCTTCCCCGTTACCGTTAGCGAGCGCATCACTCGCGGACGTCTGGCTGACACCGTTGGCCGGGTGCCAATCGGGTTGCCCATTGCCATCCGATGGGATGACGTTGCCATGTTGGTCAACCTCCTGTTGCAATACGCATTAGTCACAGGGAGTCTTGCCAAACGATGTTTTCAATTCTCAACTTACAACGCCCTTGGCAGCCATGCGCACCTGTTGAGGATTGGCCGTACCATGTACGACAGCCTCTCGTGCCTTCTCCATGACCTTTTGTTTGCGGCTCTCTCCGCGGATTCTCTCGAGATGCTCGAAATAGCCAGCGTCGACCGGGGTGACATATTTGCCGCAGAAGACACCGACTTCGAACTTTTGTGTTGCGGGATCTCGCGGGGAGAGACGTGCGCAAGCGCTCTGTAGATCCTCAAGATTCTGGTATACGACATCGTCCGCGCCGATGTGCTTAGCAATGGCTGCTGAGTCGCGGTGGTGAGCGATCAGCTCCGAGGAAGAGGCCAGATCAATACCGTAGATGTGGGCATTGGTGATTGGCGGTGCACACGAGGTAAAGTAGACCTTCTTGGCACCCGCTTCCCGCGCCATCAGGACAATCTCACGCGACGTAGTACCCCGAACGATGGAGTCATCAACCAGCAGCACGTTCTTGCCTTCAAACTTCTTCTTCATAGGATTCAGCTTGGCCCGGACGCCCTTCTGTCGTAGTTGTTGCGATGGCATGATGAATGTGCGGAAGATGTAGCGGTTCTTGACGAAACCTTGTACGTATGGCTTTTCGAGAGCCTCAGCAACGCATAACGCAGAAGTAATCGAAGTCTCAGGAATCGGCATAACCACGTCGATCTCAGCCATGGTCTTGGGACCAAGCTGCTTCTTGATGGTCTCGGCGAGAGTGAAGCCCATGTTACGTCGGCTCTCATCCACGTCGATGCCGTCAATGACAGAGTCAGGTCGCGCGAAGTAGACGTATTCGAAGATATCCGGGGTATACGCTTCTTGCTTGGCGACTTGCCTGAAGACGGGCTCCTTGCCCTTCTCGATGATGACAGCTTGGCCGGGGAGGATATCGAAGAAGTCCTTGTAGCCGCACTGGACCAGCGCAACGCTCTCTGAGGCCATCATGTAATCCATGCTCTTGCCGTCCTGCGACTTGCGGGAGCCGAGCACCATGGGACGAATACCGTACGGGTCGCGGAAACCGATGAGGCCGAATCCTGAGACAATGTTAGTATCTACACGATCACAGCGTAGCAGATATCATTGGATATTGACATACCCGCAAGCATGGCCGTGCAGGCCCATCCACCAGTGCAAAGCTTGTACATCCTCTCCAGCGCCGCAAAGCAGTCGTCGGCGTTAATACGCGCCTTGCCCGTCTCGTTGAGCTCGTCGGCGAAGATGTTGAGCATGAGCTCACTGTCGCTCTCGGTGTTGATGTGCCTGTGGGCCTCGTGATCGAGTCGCTGGCGTAGTGCCGGCGCGTTGATGAGGTTGCCATTGTGAGTCATGCAGATACCGTAGGGGCTGTTGACGTAGAAGGGCTGAGCCTCAGCGTTCGCGCTGCTGCCAGCGGTAGGGTATCGCAGGTGCCCGAGGCCCATGAAGCCGGGGAGGTCGGACACGCGTGCGCCGTCCTGGAAGACGCGCGACGCCATACCGTTACCCTTGCACTGGTGGAAGCGACCACCAGCACTGCAACTGACTATTCCGGCAGCATCCTGGCCGCGATGTTGGAGGAGGTAGAGGGCATCGTGCACCTCGACCGAAGCCGATTGCGACTTGGGATCGCCGTGGATCACAGCAATGATACCGCACATTTTGACGTGATGGCGGGGTGTGGGGAGGCTTGGAGTAAAAACTCAGGTTTATATACTACCAAGACGCGTCAGTTGCGGTAACGATTCGGAAGACGCGGGATATGTAAGTGGGGTAGTCTCTCAGGAAGTCGTTGTGCGCTCAAGGGGTATCGCAAGTCTAACATCTTTATAATATGACAAAATCATCATCGGGACATTGGGTAGGCAGCAGGTAAGAGAACAAGTGACGACATACGTAGCCTGGTGGTGTTCCTGAAGATTTCGGCAGGTCTCTCCAAAAATGGGGTATCCTGGTGGAAGAATAATGCTATGGCCGTTGGGCGCTAGATGCAGCAGCAGTCCATCTACTCTCAGGTCGAGTTCTCAGTGTGGGCGGCGGCGGCGTCTTCGTAGCGGCGTGGCGGGATTGTTGTCCCAGCTGGTGATGGCGTTTGGGCTCATGGTTATTGGAAAGTAAGAGCGCTCTAGTGGGGAAGGGGCAGCATGATAAACAATTTTTTTTCCTCGCCGCACCTGCACTTCCGCCCTTTGGGGCTTGGCGGCCCTTCGAAGCCGAGGGAGCTGCCCCACATGTTGCAACCCAGAACCGACATCGCAACGCGACATCGCGATGACTCCGACAAAGGAACGCGAGACAGGCGCGTTACCACCGCTGACAACCATTCGAGTACGCGCTTTCGTTCGTTTCGCGCCCTGGACCATCATCCGACGCGTTCTCACCCCTTATGTACGAAAGATCGAATGTCTCCACCTCCTCACGTCGTCCATGGCGGTCCTAGGTACGCTCCCAAGGTTGATGAACGCCATTCCACATGCGAACAGAGCGCGTCGCTGTATGTACCGGAACGCATCAGTCGATATTTGGTGGCCCACTGTGCCATGGGGCCTGTGAACGCCAACGATGGCGCAACCTTGTAGTCGTCATCCACGGCCGACCTCTCGCATTTTGTCACCGGGCTTCTCGGGCCATCTCCCTCGCAGTTTCTTGAGTACATTCGAGGGCTGACGTAAGTGAATTTGTTCCTTGTCGATGCAGGATTCCGGAAGAGCCCCAAATGGACGGAATAGGCCGACGCTCACATGGGAGCGCACAGTCAGGGTGTGCTTGTGCTGACTCTCGAAGGGTTATCGTCCAAAGCCTCTTCAAAGGTTCTTTGTGTTACCAGTACCACATCCCCGGTCTCCGCCACGCTGCACGAGCGGCTACACCCCGTGTCCAATTCCGAACGGTGCCCACCCTGCACGACATCCATCGCCGAAGCGCGTCGGCACTGTTATCATACTCGCAAACGAAGCAGCCAGAGGACGAACAACTCATATGTCTCGGAATTTTATCTTCTGCAGATCGGCAGCTACTATCTCTTACGCGACAGACCGACTCCAAACGACGCTAGAATACGTCTCTGCTCCGTCCACGCCTACCCCGGTCTTTCACACCAACAATCTCCCACAGCCACGATGCGGGTAGTCAAAAACGGATCATGTTGTTGGCTTGCTAGCATGGCACTGTATCTTCACTAGCGTGACCCCGGTTACAGCTGGCCACCGAGACTACGGTTGGTGGTGTCCATTCGCCCAATCGATACTGATCCATTGTAGACGAGAGCATCAGAAGTCGACGTTGACGATCTATCGAACCTGCTCAGTCTGAGCATTAATGTACCTGCACCATCGTTCCCGGAGAGCATCGTTCCGCTGTTTCAACGTCAAGCACAACAGAGGGTCAAGTTTATGTGCTTAAGTTGCAACACGTTCTACAGCAGTCTTCGCGCATAGGGTTCGTTCAGGAGACGCAAACACGTGAATATGGGCACATACGTGTCGCGTATTATACGTGAGCCGGTGGATCTCGCACTAAGACTATTGCCAGATGCCCGGAGAAGTGCAGCCCGTGAGCCCCGATTGACACAGCTGCGTTGACGCCGGCTTCATGCGGAAAGGACTGATTTACACGACATATCCGAGGAACACAAGCATTGGCAACCTTGTGCAATTGTCAACTCAGTGCAGCCCAAAACGTTCGACTTGTTGTCGATAGATCATTTGCTAAGTTTCAGCGCAAAGCGCAAAGGCTCACGTTACGCTCGTCTTATTTGACTTGTCCCCACTATACACTTAGGCGGTCTTCAGATTGGCAGCTGTCCTACAAGAGAGTGTATTACCAGTCTCGGCATATCAGCACTTCTGAATTTGACGAGAATGGTATCAAAGGTACCAGCAGGACGATACTCAATTTCCACGATGGTTGTTCGATTTCTAGATGTGGAAACCCCACCACGTGAAAGCTGCTGATCAGTACCGCATCAGTAGCATGCAGGATCGGCTGCTTGCCGCTGCCTCCAATTGCCTCAGCCCGATTAGCTCTCGCGTATGCATAGCTACTTCCCTGAAATAATACGCGGGGTCCCCACATGTAGTCGCAGATCCAGCCCAACCAGGACCGTGCAGACTTAATACTACACGTTCCGCATGGACTAGGTGGCGATGCTGTTCACTAACCGATGTTCCGGGATCTTTGTTAGGTGCTGGACAAGTATACCGACAGCAAGCCACCTCTTCTACTAAGATCCAGCTCAGCCAGGGATCTCCAATCGCAGCCTGCATGTACTACAAAAGTATACACTACGGGCTAATGCCCCCGACGCATGCAAACGCATGGATGTAACCCGTATACCCATCGGCTAAGAGGGGCCCAGAGAGTGACGATAGACTTGTCAAATGTGGCTTCTTTATCATATGCGTCAGCGTCGCGGTATAAAGGGTCAAAAGCCACGCCAAAGCTCACATATCACCTCGGCATTATTTCCATTCGACAAGTGTGCGATTGCAGCTTTCTGTCGTCTGTCGTCATAGACTCTTCATAGTTCTTGCCTGCACATATCTTTATGACGGTGGGGTCCGGCGAATCTGGCAGGATGACGACCCTCAACGAGGAGTGCTTTCCAAACATGTCGGCTGGCACTGACATCACCGCGTCATCAGAATCGATTAAGGTGAGCAACTACCACCGCGACAAAAAACCTTTCAAATTAACTATTCAAGTCCTTCACAGGAGCCAAGATGGCCTCGAATGGAAAGACCAGTGCTCCGACCCACGTACTGGCGGCTTTCATCGCCCTCAGTCTATCGATCTTTCTAGTAGCACTCGACACTGTGCTCATCCCAACCGCTTTGCCCACGATCTCCCAGTCCTTCCACATCCCAGATTCCCTTTACGCCTGGATAGGATCATCCTACCTTCTCGCCAACGCTTCATCAGTCCCGTTCTGGGGGAAGCTCTCGGACATTTTCGGACGAAAGCCAGTAATCCTGGCAGCCAACGCCATTTTCCTTGGCGGCAGCATCTTGTGCGCCGTCAGTGTGAATGCCGTTATGCTCATTTTCGGTCGTGTCGTTCAGGGTCTCGGCGGCGGTGGGGTGGTGGTACTGGTTCACGTATGCGTCAGCGACCTCTTCACCATCCGGGATCGGTCCTTCTACATGGGTACTGTTGGTGCTGTATGGGCCGTCGCCTCTGCTCTGGGCCCGGTACTTGGCGGCGTCTTTGCACAACGTCTCCATTGGACGTGGTGCTTTTACATCAACATACCCATCATCTCGCTAGCGATCTTAGTGTTGTATCTTACGCTACACCTACACAACCCACGAACGCCCTTTAAAACAGGACTCGCGGCTATGGACTGGCTGGGGACGGTCACGATAATCACGGCTACTATACTTCTGCTAGTAGGCCTCCAAGTAGGTGGCATTAGCTCCTACTCGAACGCAGGAGTCATCACGTGCTTGCTGTTTGGATCACTCGCTTACGTCGCCTTCCCTTTCTCGCAACACTGGGTGGCACAACATGGCGGCAGCCCTATCATGCCACTGCGCATCTTCAAGGACATCAGCAACCTCAGCGCACTGGCCGTATGCGCATGCGACACTGTGGTCTTTACCTCGGTCGCTTACTTCCTACCCTTGTACTTCCAGATCGTGCTCGGGCTCCAACCAGAGATCACGGGCGTATGTATGCTCGCCGTCGCGATACCTTTGGCACTTGTTTCATTCGCTTCTGGTCATGTCATAGAGAAGACTGGGCGTTTCCTAGAAGTACTGCAAGTGGGTCTGTTTGTTATGACGCTCGGTGTCGGCCTTCTCATCTCGCTCGGCACCGCGCCAAGTCTTGGAACTATCGTCGCATTCATGGTCATTATCGGCCTGGGTTTCGGGCCCAACTTTGGCGCGCCGCTCATTGCTCTACAAACGCGCATACAAGAGGCGGATATCGCGGCCGGTACTGCGGCTTTTGGATTTGTACGTGCAATATTTGGTGCCATCGGTCTAGTTATCGGCCAAGTGGTATTCCAACTCCTCATGGCGCCACACTACGCGAAGATTATCGACAGTGGCATTGCAGACGATGTTGCTGTCAATCTCACTGGGGGTGAAGCGATATCTCAAAGCGCCGCCATCACTAACCTCACCGAGTTCCAGAAGAGTGTAGTCCGCCATAGCTTCATGAGCGCGCTGAGAGGGACCTGGATTCTCATGACGATTGTGGGTGCCATTGGTCTTTTGATCTCGTTCGGTATCAAGAGGACGAAGCTGCGTCGAGAGAGGACGACTGAGCTTAAGGAGCTGGAAGTCACATCGAGCGACTGAGCATGGGGTAACAGCTCCCACGCGTGCAACTAATGGCTCGCTCATTAATGTCCATTCATCCGACGCACACAGTGCAAGCGATTCGGTCACTTGATTCATGACTAGCTCACCTAGTCTCATGTTTCGGGTGCAAATCATTCCATATTTAGTCCATTTGAGCGTCTTACATATATGGATCTGCGCGGTGCGGTCCCTACCTACCAAAGCAGCCTCAAGCTCTACATAAATACACTCGCTACACAAACCTCTTCATGTATTGCAAGACCCGGTCCGTGGTGTATCACGTCTGATCTCGTTTGCGCCCTGTACTTACTTCTTTCTCCGTGCTTCCCTATGCGTCCTCAGCAGCTTCGCCAACGCCTCATCACTCCATCCCGCGTCGCGATAGGTGAAGTAGTCACTTGGCAGGGTCGCAGGATTATTCGGATCTTGCGTAGGGTTGGGCAATGGTGCCAGTAGAAGTGACTGTGGCTGGGACGGCTGTCCAGGCGGCTCTTGAGTAGGTGCGCCGTCGTCACTCTGAACAGGCATGGGTGGCGCGGGCATCCACCACGGCTGGGCTTGTGTCGCTGCTGGTGCAGGTCCTGGTACTGGTCCCTGCGGTATACATACTTGATCGGGGAGAGGGTAAGGTACTAACACACGCTGCCCTGTTGGTGTTACTATGACTTGGAAGACGGGTTGTCCGGGATGCTGAGCTTGGTCTTGGCCGTTTCTTGGGGGCTGAGGTGGCTGGTTGGGGAACATGCTTGGTTGAGTTTGATACGTTAACGATGGTTAGATGAAGAAGACTATGGGCGGATGTAATGCATAAATTTATATGTATATATGATATGATGGAAAATAACCCGAGCGAAGCAGCGTCTATACGTTGTTCGATGTATAAGCTGTCGCGTGTGGGACGCGTCAAGGATGCGCTGTTGCACCGACAGCTATGCGGACAGCACGCGCATGATGTATGAGCAAGCTTGATGCGTTGAGGAACTCAACAGTAGCGCCTCACGTATCCCATGAGCTGTGATAGTTCTTTTGTGATATCGCTGTAGTCAATAAACGACGCACAAATGATTCGTTGGACGTTGCAGAATTGTTTGCATTCTTCAAAAGCCGAGAAAATTTTGCTGTGAACTTCCTCAAGCTCCTCTCGTAGGTGTCCGAAAAAGTGATGGCAGGCGTTATCTCAAGCTCAGTCCAAGCTTTCTCCTTTGTAGCCAGGAGAATAACAGTACTTCATCAAACGACGGGAAATCTTGCTGCCACCAGCTCGTGCTGTCCAGCACGTGTCGACAACCCCAATGCGCCGAACCTTCCACTTCGCGACGCCAGTGTCGAAACAAGCCTTCAGCTTCACACCGGTCCTTTTCGAGAGCTCAGAGGCGAAGATAATCTTGTTAAGACAATGTAGGCGGTATTTATCAGGAGCTTTTTCCGTTTGGCCTGGTCTCATGATGAACTTGATCAGAATCTCATGCTGCGCATCATCTTCGTCTTCAGTGGTACTGGTGATAGTGTTCAATCCTTTGGGTACCGAGGTGATGTTGATGCCATCCAGGCCTATCAAGCTGATAACATTATCCTGTGACCAAGTGCGAAACGTTCTTGCCATATCCCGCATGATCTTTAGCTCATCGAAGTCATCCGGATCGGTGGGCATGTTCAAGGCGTCTAGAGTTTCGCTTACAGTTGTTGGAATCAGCTGAAGATGAAATCTTGAACTGGTTTCCCGGAGCTTCAACAAGGCGAGAGCATCAACACCATCTTGAGAAAGTGCTGCGCCGCAGCAGATAGGCTCCACCCACCCTACCACCTCGCCGTCTTTATCTGGTCGATGAAAGGTGTTGACGTAGTTGTTGATGGTCTCAAGCGCGGTACGAACTCGACGCTTCTCTAGAAGCCAAGGGGTAAATTCATTCCGAACCTGGCGGCAGGTTTGAGTGAGGCCCCAATATGAGTGCGCAAAGTTGGTTGGACAGGCTATGCCGCGAACAGAGCGCCGAGGTACGCCTTCGGGGTAGTGGCGAACGTTCAAAATTTTCTTTTCTTCGTCGGTCATGGCGTATTGATATATCAAGTTGCGAACTTCACCCGGTAGATCACTCCAGGGCGCATTCTGAGTACCTGGTTTCTTTGGTGGATACCGACGGGAATGTGAGCGCGGCACGTATTGGTCTTCTTCGTCGCTGTCGTCATCCTTCTCTTCTTCTGATACCCAACCAAGCCAAGAACCCAACTTATCAGCCTCTGCCCTGACTTTCTCCTCGAAGCTTGTCTTCCTTCGGTGGGCACCTGTGATTGTTGGTTTGGTGATGCGCGCACCCTGCACACGAAGCTTTCCGCTCAAATGGGCAGACCGAGCGGTAGGCCCTGGAGTTCGCAGGTCACGAACGCGGCTGCGGCTGGACCTGGCCATAGGCATTTCATCGTCGGTAAGCTGAGCTACAGTATCCTTACGCAGTCGCTTTACGGGAGGTGCGTTGTAGTCGGCAAGGCTCGCAAGCTCGGCGACAATATTCGTAGGTTTCTTAAGTCTGCGCTTTGAGTGCGAAAGTCGTCTGTCATCACTGCGACAGCGACTGGCACCCCCATCGTGATCGCTTCCATTTTGGGAAACTGCGCGTGTGTCCTGAATGTCGCGACGATTGCGCTTTCTGGACGTCTGCGAAGTCGTGCACTCCTTCTCGGCTCGGTGTTTGCGCTTCGAACTCATTATATTCGCTGTATGTAGGGCTTACTGGGGGATACTGAGAATTAGAGGAATTCACTGGCTGACGTGAAAGAATGTGGGCGTATGGTTTTAACACTAGGGTTGACACAATTATGAGATTTGGTGGAGCGTTCTGTTCAGAATGGGTGCCTAGTATTAAGAACACTCAACCATGGATTGAAGGGGAAACGCACGTGCGTTCGCAACTCTTCCCTTCGCTTGTATGGATTAGGCCAAGATTCTTGTTGTTGTCCGGTGGAGTTACTGGTTGCACCAGGTTAGTATAGTTGTCGCGATCGGGGTCTATATGATCCATGGCGATGTGGGTGTGGAGACCTGGCTTTCAGTGGTACCGAAACGCGATACCACCGCAGGCGACTTTGCAGCCAACGGCCCCTACGATACTGTTTTGTGTTAGCATCGTGAGGCGGACTTGATTGCGCAGTTTGTGTGCTGCTATGCTTGATCAAATCACAACATCACAGCGTGACAGTCGGTATCCGAATAATAACAAGGTCGCAACAGGCGTTCCCATAGCTGAACCACAACATTTGTGAAGAAGACAGCATGTCGCGATCTGTTCGAAGCTGTCACAAGCTGCTAGGGTGCATTCTCTCTTTGTTGTGTCGAATTCCAGCCGATGCGAAGAATAGCTGATACAACAGTCGCGGTCAGGTTGTCGCGAACGCGTCGTCTCCCAGCCCCTTCCAACAACAACGGATGTCGTTCTGTGTGCGACCGCGCTTGCCAGAATCTTGCACTATGCAGCAATAAAAAATCATGACGAGATCAAGGAAATATAGACGTGACGAAGATGTCCAAAGTACGCTCAGCTTCGGATGAATGAGCTTTGAGGTCGAAGCTGATCGGTGTTTTGCCAAGCTAGATGACGTCATCGCGGTTTTCCACACCTTCCCTCCTCTAGACACAAATATCCCACTTTGCTTTCGCAAACATTAGCCCGATACCGAAGCTACTATGCTCAAACACGTAGTACGCCATGCCATCCCTTCCCGAGATCTCGACGCGCATCGTCACGTGAGCAAGCCACTATTTAATGCGTGATCTGTGATCAGTAAACCCGATACCGAGCCTCGGGTCGCTTCACAATCAGCCAATCAGAACCGCGCACTCCTTTACAGCTCAGCTCTCCTTCATGACAGTTTCGTGGAAGTTATGGATAGTGCAAATTGGCACATTTGATAATGTGCTGCGCTTGCTCTCGGCCGTAACTTTAGACGCGTGCGGGGAACAGGACGTAGCGCCGGGTATATACAGCACATATCCTCTCACTGTGAAGTATAACGGAGGATATCCCGTCTACCTTTCATAGCAACCCCACTTAACTCACCATACTCCTAGCATGAACCACAATGGCCAGAATGGACATGTGACATTGATCCATGAGACCGAGACTGTCATTGCTGGAAACAACGGAGAGAAGTCCGACCCCGAGCATCAATCTCCATGCCAACCCGCCAAATTCGAGGATGAACGACGCTGTAGTGAACGGCCTGCTAGCGAAGATGGATCGTTCACCAGCCCCGTCGACCCGATGGACTGGGATGGTCCGGACGACCCTGACAACCCACACATCTGGTCTACATGGAAGTTGGCTTATCATACGATGATACCAGCCCTCTTTGGATTCACCGTGTAAGTCACAAGTCAGCCCGTAACACCAGGAATTACTGACGATTCAGCACCTTTGGAACATCAGTGTATACACCCGCGCTCGCAGACGTTATGCGTGACTTCGACGTATCGCGCACGGCTGCGCTCATCGGCATAACGCTTTATACGCTCGGCCTCGCGTTTGGTCCAATTGTGACCGCACCCCTTAGCGAAAGAAAGGGCCGAAAAGTCGTGTATCTGGTGTTCTTCCCCATATCCATGCTGTTTACACTCGGTGCGGGCTTCTCGAAGACCTTCGCGGGCCTGGTCATATGTCGATTTTTCGCAGGGTTATTCGGAAGTCCAGCGCTGGCTGTTGGTGCTGGAACCAATGCCGATTTGTTTCCACCACATAAGCGCGCCTTGGCGACGAGCTTCTACTTGATGGCTCCTTTCGCCGGGCCGTCTTTTGGGTATGTGTATCGTCCAGAGTTCATTGCTTTACTGGATGTTGACGTGATGACAGACCCGTAGTTGGAGGATTCGTGGCGCAGTACAAGACTTGGCCATGGACACAATGGTCGATTCTTTTCCTTGCGGTGGCCGTGTACGCGGCTTCTATACCAATGGATGAGACTTACAAGCCAATCATCTTGAAGAAGAGAGCGAAGGAGAATGGAATGCAAAAGAAACAAGAAAATGGAGATATCAAGCGCGAGATCGTTATGAGGTTTATTCGACCCCTTCACATGCTCTCAACAGAGGTATGCTTGCAAGCCCCCGCGCATCTTCGTCCATTCTTGAGCTAAATGCGCACAGCCGGTAGCGTTCTTTGTCTCGCTCTATACAGGTTTCGCATTTGGGGTGCTGTTTCTCTTCTTCGCAGCCTTCCCTTATGTCTTCTCACGTCCGCCATATTCCTTCACGCCGTCTCAGTCTGGGCTCACATTTATTCCGATCAGTATTGGTGTCTTTGTTGGAGGCATGACTACTATTATCATAGACCGTACGATCTACCTGAAGAAACATCAGCAGGCCATCTTGAAAGGCAACCCGAACGCTGACCCGGAACATCGCTTATATAGCGCAATGCTTGGTAGTTGGGGCATGGTAATTGGTCTCTTCTGGTTTGGCTGGTGCGCTGACAAGGGCGTTCATTGGGCTCCCACTGTAGTGGGAGTTATACCTTTTGCATGGGGCAATATTTGTGTCTTCGTAAGTTGCGAAGCTCGATTTCATGTTGCATTAGTACTAACAGCTTGACCTCTAGACATCTTCTGCGCTCTATCTTACGGATGTATACGGTGCGATGAACGGCGCGTCAGCCATGGCGGCGAATGGGATCGTCAGGTACACGCTTGGGGCTGTCTTCCCCCTCTTTACTGTGCAAAGTACGTCATCAAACGTGGAACCAGCCGATGGCAATGTCTGGAGCCTTGAACAAGCTAACATCTAACTCAGTGTATGATGCTCTCGGGATCGGCTGGGCGACATCTCTCCTTGGCTTCCTGTGTCTGGCTATGATACCTATCCCATTTGTATTCTTCAAATTCGGGCCAGCTATCCGCGCGAAGAGCAGATTCCCAGTGGCCATGTAACATGCATGCTTTGCGATGGTACTCGTCCCAACATGTAAATGAAGGCGGAAAGGTGACCGTGAAGGAATGTGGACGGGACTGGACGCGCATCTAGGGCAATGCTGTAAAGCTTCGCAAAGCGATTTGAACGGTACTGGAGAGCGAATGAAGTCTGACGACGCGTCAGTATACTAAAGAAATGCTCGTGCAATCACGAACATACTGGCGGCTTCGCAAACTTAGAAAGCAAATGATCACGCGTCAAGGAAGGGGGGTTCTAGCGCGGGACCCGAGTCATGCTTTGAAATACAATTCGGTATCGGCCTTCGCTTCGCGTCTGCTGCTTGTAAATCAGTCCCTTGCTCGCATCACAGCTGAGATAATACAGTATGCACGTTGCTCGACAGTGCCTGGCGATGCGTTGCACAAGGCTGACGCCGCAATTATTTGAGGCTGTCGATGGTCGCTGCTGCACACATAATCGCAACAAGAGCAATGCAAATCCCTACGCTTCACACTTTTCAATCACTTGAACACCTTTTCTTCTTACCACTTTCTCTACCGCTGTTCCTCGAACGCAACCTCCCCATCCTCATCATGGACCCCAACGCCTTCACGACCCCGTTCCAGCTCACCAAGTCGCTCAAGCGCGATGTGTACCCGGCCATCGACCCCAAGAACCCCACTCTCAGCGCCAAGGGCAAGACCATCCTGGTCACGGGCGCTACAGGCGGTTTAGGAGGCGTAAGACGGTCTGTCGTCGATCGCGCGAGATGGATGCTGACGCCAACGAATAGGAAGTGGCACGTGCCTGGGCTATAGCCGGCGCCAAGGGCATCGTGCTTGTCGGTCGCAACAAAGGTCTGTTGGCAGAGCCCGCCAGCGCCATCGCCTCCCTCAGCCCCGAGACCAAGGTCCTCAGTGCCACCGCCGACCTGACCAACGAGGCCGAAGTCCAGGACCTGTTCAAGAAGACGACCGATGCCTTTGGCATCGTTGACGTCGTGGTCCATGCCGCCGGTAGTATGGTGGGCGGACCTGTCGGCGACCTCGAACCCAGCGCTTGGTTCAGCGACTACGAGGTGAACGTCAAGGGCTCGTATATTCTCGCATACTACTACCTCAAGGCCGTTGAGTCCGGTACGCTCATCTTGCTGAACACGCTCGGCTCGTCCTTCACAGTTCCCGGCATGAGCGCCTACTCGGGCAGCAAGATGGCGCTGCTCAAGTTGGCCGAGTACCTGGACGCTGAGAAGCCTAATCTTCGCGTCTTCACCGTGCACCCTGGTATCGTCGCAGCGACTGAGTCAAAGCGCGGTATGGTCGTCGACCAGCTCACGCCGTTTGCGCACGACAAGGGCATCCAGACGGGTGGCTTATCGCTGTACCTTGCGCAGCCCAAGGCCGACTACCTCAAGGGCTCATTCCTCAGCGTCAACTGTACGTATCTCATTCTATACCAACTCTTTATCTACGACTGCTGATATTTTCCAGGGGATGTCGACGAGATGGAGGCGCATAAGCAGGAGATCACCGAGCAGAAGCTGCTCAAGCTTGGATTTCTGAACGCAAAGCTCGGTCCGGAGGGTCATCCGTGGTCCGCGTGACTTGAGGACTACAAGCCCGACGCGACTGATCGAAAGGTGGAGAGAGGTAGGAACAAGGAAGTGTTCGTGTAGTCAGGAACAGAGTGGTGCGTTTGCGAGCCGATCGATCGCGGGTCGGGTATGCTAGAGCGGTTCGCGCTTTGTAAGGGATGCTGGGTCATCGTGGGATGGCGACACATGATTTTCGGGGCAGTTCTCCAACATCGCTTAGATCACAGGTACCAGGCATATTGATACGGTTGCCATGTAGAAGTTCTGTCTGCGGTGATGGCCATGACGCTGTACGAGCTAAGATCCACTATGCTTACCTAATAAGTGGGCCCCGCTTCCGCCCCAACCTCCTTCCCTCCTGCCTTTGGGCGTCGCCTCAATCACCACAACAGCTCTACGTCCCCTCAAGCATCCCATGCCGTGAGGCTTTCTTCCCAGCCCCATGCCTGACGCATGATGTCGTATCGATCAGCAGTCCGAAAACGGAACCACCAAGCTGCCTTCTACGAGACACAAAAAACGCATGGACCGCGTACGACCTCGCGACACCCATGAGAGGCACTTCGAATCGAGGTCCTTCGTGCAGAAGTACAGGTCCCTGTGCTACTCGCTTTGACGCGAAGGTGTGACCTTATGACGTCGATCATCGAAGGTTCAGCACGCATCCGCTATTGAACAACATCAACGGCAGTCTCGATTTATCAAACCTCTTTCCGTTTGAGACATGCTTTTGTTGTTGCTGCACTGTCGAAATGCCGGGAAAAAATCTCGCAGCTCGCTATTATACGGCCCGTCGACGCGTGTTCGATTTATGTGCGCTGTGGTAACGCTGTATCCTCCCCTGTGTTGTACACTGTCATCAAGTCGTGCCATCAGGGTTCGTTTGAGGCTTACAAGTCGGCATTGATGCTTTAGCAAGCGCTATCGTTAGTTCGGTAAATTTTCCCGAGCTCCAACAGCCACGTTCACGGCCATGTTGCCGCCACGCTGCAGGTCACAGCAGCATCAGGTTTTGACTTCGCCTCAGAGCTTCTCGCGGCGCGAATGTTACATTTCCTCTTCTTTTTCATCAAGTCGCTCCATCGATCTCTTCGCTAGCGGATAGCAGCATCGTAACGTGGACCGGTGACGCCGGACCAGAGATAAACGGGGGGTCAGGGATCAGTAACTCGAGTCTACATTTCGTGTGATCATCATCACTTACGATACCCCCTCTATATTGCAAGGCTTAGTCACCGCGGTGACTTGTACGCGCTTGTTTTACAAAAGTACTGTCAACGCGTTGTGGCATCATTACGTCGGTGTCGATCCAAAAGCAGATTCTTCATGTCATGTGCACGTTTTCAATGCGCTCACCCAGATTCGGTTGCAAGCATACCAGATTTCAACTGCGTAAGCGTGCATTTTGTGCCCTGCGTTCACCCGGCGTCGCGCAAAGAACCAGGACAAAGGTTCCAAGGACCTCGTACCCGAGACATGCTTTGTCGGGTGGCATGTGCGAAATATGGCCTGACATTGGAACGATTCCTATGTTGTACAGAGCTCTTGACGGTGATGATATGAGCTATCATGGCTAGCCGAGCAGAGGGTGGTTCTCTCTCCTCCGACTAGTCTCATGACTGTGACGACTCGGTCATCTTCCGATGAGGGAAGACGTGGTTGTCTAGTTTCCACGAATTTAGTGCGGACTCCCTGATGCGTATTCCACAACCCAACGAGTCGGCCACAGCATTAGCTGTGGAACAGTGTTGACACTTGCGACCTTCTGACGCAACGGCGCTGTCTTCAAAGATATATCGGAGCACCCAGGTGCTGATTGGATCGCAAAAGAAAAGAAGCGGTGAAACTTAGCGTAGTTCTGATTGCCGTCTGCGGCATTTCCTGGTAGACGGAACGACTACCGCACTAAGGATGTGTCGCTTCATCTGCTTATCGGGAATGCGATCAGTACCTGGGCGTTCGTGGAACGTGAAGATATGAGACGTACACTACGTGTCCAGGGACCGGTCCGTCAACGTCCTGCTGGGTCAGGGGGGAGACTGTTCCGCGTACTCACCGCTGGATCGGGAAGGTTGGTATGCAGGCATTGCTCAAGTCGTTTGCGATATCTAGGAACCACACGCCGCCATAGAAGAGACAACATGCCGACACATGATCGGTGCGGCAGATTATTGAACTTGCATTCACCGGTTTGAGTCCAACCTTAGCTTGAGTTGAGGCTATTGTTACAACGCAGCGATGGTCACCTCAGATGCGTCAAAGGCACGAGTATGATTGGCGGAACAAGAGCCTGCTATCCGACGCGTGTCTACTGGCTGACCCCTGGCATTTCTTCATCACGATCACGATAGACCGGGCT